TGAAACTAACAATCTCAGAATTTTGCCCCCATGACTGCCAGCTCCAACGACTACCACGTTATTAACTTTCTGAAAAACCTTGCCTATTTTCAAACCCACATCGGCACTGATCCAGTTAAGCGGAATATTAAATACCTGAACCCAGATAGGAAGCTCCTGGAATATTGGGTGCGAAGGTGATAGGCCAATCTGCCAGTCTGTGAGGATCAGGTATTGATTGTCTATGCTCCAGTTGGTGCCTGCTGCTACTCGAGCTTTGTCCTCCTTGCATTGGAAGATAAATTGGAAATAGTTTGTTCCCAGCTCCTTAACTTCCATTGATTGTCGGAGTCTCCAGATATGGCCCATAGCCCTTTTTACCCCAATCCAGCTGATAACTCTGTCCCCAACGATTTTTCCGATAAGGCTTCGTTGACATTCTTCATCACTAAGTCGAATATCGTCTTGAGCAATATCTATAAGCACATTTTCTCGGTTTGATAACGAAAAATTCTTGAGGCGATTGGACAGGTCCTCGTCTTGTCCGATACAAGAATGGGATTCCATAAACAACAATCCTTGAACTGAGAGAGGAAAAACCAACTACGTGGAGAGAAGATTAAACCCTTCAAAATCACTCAGCTTGAAGATTGAAGAAATAGAGAATTGGCTGAAGATCGATCAATAGATTTCGCTCCCCTCAGAGAGAATAATTTCGCTCCCCTCAGAGAGAATTTGGTGTGTGTATAAGTACTTACTATACAAAGTACTATATAAAAAAATTAATTGTGAAAATTAGCATTTACTATTACTAACTCTTAATTCATTTATTTTCTATGATTAATTTATTTTTTAATGAAAAATGATAAACACAAACTTTTTAAATATCATGATGATTTTATACGTAATTAAAATACTATAAATATTTGATTTAGGATATTAATGTAAAACTAATTTCATAGTTTGAGATTTAGTGTGGAAAACTTAATACCAAAAATTGTTGTCGTTCACTTTTAAATATATTTGCATTTTTAAACAGATTTAGTGCCACGTGATTTTTTTTTTTAAAAAAAAATGACAGATAAATTGTTTAAAAAATATGGACAATATTTTGGCCTATAATTTTAAAAATTGAAGTGCACGATAAGAAGCCAAAAAAGTAGGACAATATTTACGCGTATAGTTTTGAAAACTAAATTTCATGCAAAAGGATAAAAGTTAATTTTAAATTTTATTCAAAAAAAATTCTTCATAAGTAAGTCAAACTATTTAAATAAAAAGTCAATTTTCCACTTTTGAATTATCTATCAACCTCTTTCAATATATATAAATTGTTTATTTTATAACAATTTACGTATAATTTTAATATACATTTACGTTAAAACAAACTTAGCGAATGTAGTTAGGGGAGTAGTTAGGAACAACACAACCTAGGGGCCATTGGGATATGAATCCAACCGATTATTCGGATCATATGGTTATGATCCAACTTGGTTAGTTAAGGTGAATTATTTTGAACAAACTTTAATTGAGTAAATGATTTTAAATTTGAAATTAATAGTTAAAATGTTATTTTAAAGTTGATGTAATGTAAAATTAGAAAAGATTATATGAATTGATATGTAGTTAAAATTATGTGAGTGAAGAAATAGTAAAATAAAGTAGATGTGATGTGTGAGAATCATTGATTAATATAATTTAATTGTATTCATAAAAATTAGAAGAGTTAGGTTGTGTTTGATTTAGAGTTAGGTGATTGGATATGAAATAACTCAATTGTTATAACCGGTTAAGTTGGATCATAACTCATATCCAATCGCTCCCCTAGTAACTCATGTTCGAGCTTGTACTCAACTAATAAGCAAGCTCGACTTGATTTATGTAATAAATTTCAAATTTTAAACGAATCGTTCACGAGAAATATCCGTACACAATTAATTCGACTTGATTGTTTTATTTGAAACATAAAAAATAATAAACTAAACATGAACTGGTTGCAAACAAGTTCAACTCATATTGTTCAATAAATGAGTTTGATTAGTCGTACCGAATAAGCCAAACTGAGTTGTGTTAGCGAACGACGCAATTTGTTTAACAACTTTATGTATAGATGGATTTTCATGATTTAAAATTTAATCATACTGATGTTGATCTACCAAATAACTTTGGTTCTGACTTACTGACTCTCTTTAGATCTCCAAATCGTGATTGACTTTATCGATCGAGTACCTGAAAAAGTGTCTGGAGGGTTCCCAATGTAGATCCCCTGATGATCAAGTCAGTCTCACCGACCAAGATCTCAGGTCATCCAGGTCATAGGTCAATAACTCGACCTATCTTCCAGGAAACCTACCTCGACCTACTCCACTTGTATCCTTTAAACCGAGTTGGAGGAGCTTTGGTCCAGAACTGAGCTCCACAATAGTCTCAGGTTCAGGATCAAACTCTCTATGCTATATCACATATCATCACATATACTGATCACCTTCAAGAAAACGTAATCTTACACAAATCATGATTTGTGATTATTCCATCATTAAATAAATTAAACAAGCGTATATGTGATGTAAATGCATGTGTATTGGCTTGTGTAAAATTCATGAATTTATATAAAACATAGTATGCATGGAAAAAAAAAGTTGCACCTCAAATTTGTGGAGTAGTGTATTATTATGTACTAACCACGTCTCTGATGTTTTACTAAAAGAGTGATAGTATTATAATATAATACCACTTTTGAGTTGTCTCACATCGTTTATACAGGGAAAAATAAGCTTAACTTATAAGCATCCTCCTATAACCAATTGGTATTGGGATGAAACTTAACTATGGTCCATCAAGGCTCACCCTACTATAGTGCGCTTCACGTGCATGGGACCGCACTCGATTCTTACATGGTATTAGAGCAGGCCTACGTGGGTCCTAGCGACGACGTACCCCGTTACCCAGCTCAGTTGGGCTTGTGCCTTGTATGACCCTCTTATGGTGCGGTTCACGTGCGTGGGACCGCAATTGTACCCCGATTCTTACATGGTATTAGAGCCGATTCTACGTGGGACCATGCGATGATGTACCCGCCACCCAGCCCAGTTGCGGTTGAGCCTCGTATGAAGGACTCACAAGTAAGTGGGCGTATTAGAATATAATACCACTTGTATGTTGTCCTACATCAGTTATACATGACAAATAGACCTAACTTATAAGCCTATTGAGCTACTCCTCCTTCCACTAATTGATTTTGGGATGACACCTCACTAAGGCACATCTAGGTTCACTTTGTCATGGTGCGCTTCACGTGAGACCGCACCCATTCTACCCTTGATTCTTCACGCGACCTACTCTTCATACAATCAATTGATTTTGGGATGTAACCTCACTATGGCCCATCAAGGCTCACCCTGTTATGTTGCGCTTCACGTACGTAAGACCGCACTTGTTCTACCCCGATTCTTACGGATAGTACATCATCATAATTTGATCGGTTATAATATGAAATCATATCCTCCAAAGTTATTCATTTAATGATTTACACACTACTCCATTTGAAAATATAAGAATTAGTCAATGACGAATTAGAGGTTTGGTAGCATACTATCATACCACTAGGCATTGGGGGTTTTTTTTTTTCTTTTGAATTTTTACTTGATAAAAATGGCCGTTAAAATAGATGTTTCCCATCGAATGAGGCAGACAAAAAACGCGGTTATGGATAAAAGAGTCGATGCAATTTTCCAGATTAGATTTACATTTTCTTAGAAACAAACTGATTTTTATGTTTTTTTTTTTATTTATAAATATTACCAATCAAGCCTTTTAAAATTTTGATGGAGGTAATATCCAAATTGTGATTTGTAATTATTTTTTTTTGTCGAAACGATAGAGATATTATATAACAAGCACAAATGTGCAAAAGGTCAGCCACCAGCTGAATACATACAGCTAACAACTGAATACAAGCAGCCAACAGCTGAAAAAGTGGGAGGACAGGTCCAAGGACCGCCTAAATAACCGACCCCAACAGGGTAAAACAAAGACCCCAACAGGGTAAAACACAAGCACAACTAACAAACTATACAGACCCCAACAGAGTAATGCCCAAGTGTCGGATTCCAACAGGATAATAATGTGACACTCGGGCAAACTGAGGCCAACGGCCCAGACCAAAAACACAAAGACCACACAACCTAAATAACCAACTAAATCACAGATCTACCAAACAAAACAAAACAAAAGCAACAAAACTAATCGAGCCCTTCCAAAGTAGCAACACCAAACCGAACCAGCGGAAACAAAACGAAAGTGAATCCCGCAGCCAGATGTATCGACCCCGAAACTACCCTAAACTACTCGGTTGCCTAACGGTGTCGAAACCCTAACCCCGGAACAACACCAATCCACCCCGAACCAGGCCCGCAACATCATATTGCCCCGAAACGGACAAAAGTGCCACGGCCCCAACCCCAACCCCAAACCGCCTGGAAGCTGCCCTCATCCACCGCACCGCCGCATCCCCACTCCGACCAACACCACTGGCAGAGAAAGGAATTGGCTTTTGTGATACTTGATACATTTTATATTTTAGTTATTTTTATTTTTGAATTATAGTGATAGTTTATAAGTTATCTTCTAGTTATACATGTAGTTGATTTCACCAATAGTGTGATTGTTACTCTTCATGATATGAAGTTGTGAAAAAAAAATCATTTAAAACGGAAATCTCTCAAATTGTATGAAATTGACAATCAAATTGAGATCAACAGTTGAAATATAATTTGATGGCATCTATTAATATATAAAGAGGGAATAGTATTTGTTTGAAAAAATCAACTAAAAAATCAGCAAAAAAAATTTTCAATTTTGTCTAAAGTTTACTATAATGAGTAATTTTTGGCGAAAAAATGAATAAGTCCGCCAATCATCAATTCGAATTTTTTGAAAATTTTATTTATTGATTTTAATATATTTGGATTTATCTATTTCTACACTCTGATTCTTTTAATCTAAAATTTGAAAGAAAAAATCCGCAACAAAAGGAAAAAGGAGAAAAAAAAGAGAAATCTCTCTCTTTTCATCCCCAAATCTTTTTTTTTTCTCTCTCCATTTTCCCCTCTTTTCTTCTTCTACCCGATTTTCTTTCTCTCATCCGTCACTCTCCTTCTTCTTCTTTCTCCAATCCCAAATTACCTCCCAACATCAGAATCGGTCAGCCATCCTCAACTATCCTCTTAAAATTTATCAATAACACCCAAGAATTCCAAATCTCGAAATCAATTTCCTTTCTTCCCCATTCAATCGTTTCTCTAAAATCCGGCCGGTGGTCGAGCCTGAAAACAACGCGGACGAATTTTGGATAATCTCTCTCTTTTCATCCCTAAATAATCTCAACCTACCAAATGGAATCTGGCCTCCAACGGGAAATTCTTGGTCTACCTATATGCAATTCCACCATGGAATTTAATACTCTCCGCCGGCGCTGGGGGAGGCGGAGGCGGAGGCGGAATTGAATCGGCGCTGGCGGAAAGGGCGATGCGCCGCCAGCAGGCGCAGCTGGATCGCACGCACTACGGCGCCTAGAAGGCGCTCTGGGGGCTCAAGTTCATCAGCGACGGCAAAAAAAGCCACGTCGACGGCTGGAGCGAAGTCGAGAGGTACTTTGCGAAACTCGCCAAAGATGGCTACCTCTATCGATCTGATTTTGGGCAATGCATAGGTTGTTAATTGATGGCTAATTGTATTGTTAATTGCGGTTTGTTGGCTCAAATGAGTGCTTGATTTTTAGTTACAACTGTAATTTTCTATTACAGGAATGAGAGATTAGAAGGAATTTGCGTTGGAATTGATCGATGCCTTGAGCAGAAGGAGACGGCTGAAAGTGGACAAAATCAGTAAGGAGGATCTTTACGAATTCTGGAATATTTGCGAACAAAAATGATACTGCTAAAAAAAATCATGTAACATAAAGAGAATATAAAAGAAAAGGAGGAAGCCATTTTTAGTTGGTGTATGTAAGATTGATTTTTCATGTATATTGATATTCCTCTGTGTTTTGAATTCATATGATTTGACTGTAAGCAAGTCTTGATTTTGTAGAAGCTTTCAGAATGGAGTCAATGCTCATTAGTGGAGTCCAGTTTTCGGGAATATGGTGTTTTCCAGGTTAACTTCTTTCGAGTTTACAAGTTGTACCATATATTTGATTGATCTGTTGCTCGATTTTATTAATTTTGAAAGGAACGGTTGACGATATGGCGAGTATTGCTCGTGAGTTCTTTAGTTTGCCAGTGGAGGAGAAGATGAAGCTTTAATTACTAGGAAGGCAACTCCATCAATGAGCATTGACTACACTAAATCATATGATGAGATTGATCTCTTATTGCCTTTTGAGGCTTTCTTTCCTCGGGTACAAAATCATCCTGTACTTATTGTGTCTAGATTGCCCGTGAGCTTTACTCTGCCTCCTGGTGCGATTTTATACATCCTTTCTTTATTTCTTATGGGTGTTTGCTGTTCAATGTACTTCATTATGTTTACTTCCTTGTGTACTTTTACAATGCCCGACTGATTATGTCTGTATATGCGTTCCAGTTGACGATCTTCAGAACAAGAACAGCGGTGAAGTTACCTGGATTTTTCTTCTTGGTAGTTACCTGGTTTTTTTCTACATTTTTACCAATTTCTCAGAACTCATCAAGCACATGTTTATGTAGCTAATTTGTCATCGTGATTATCACTTTTTCGATAGGGTTCTTGCTCTTTGTTAACTGAATCAATCGAATTTGTAGATCCCTGCACCGTCTGAGAGAACACATCCAGACAAATCTGAAGACCCAATCGGTAAAACCCGAACCCAATCATTCCACCTCCGCTAACACCAACGATAATGTCATAAATCATCCAATGGCAAAACCTGCCTAAAACCTAAAGGTTACTAGATGGGCCTCCAGTCCCTGGCCGAGAGCCCGATGATGGGCCCGATCTCTGCATTCGAAGATAGCGGGTGGGGTTACTGCACCGAGGAGTAGCTGGAGGAGATTTTACTTAAGAATTTGGATAACAACGCCATTAACAAGCCATGGCTTTGGGCTATGATGAAGAGGTGGCATTGAGGGCTATTTTGAAGAACGAGCATGTTATGGTGGGGTGGACGTCCTCACGAACATCTTGCATAACTCCTTAGCACCACTGGAGCCCAGGATGATCCCGAGCCATCGTTTGCTGACCTGATGCGGCTGGAGGAGTGCTCACTTGCCAGCATGGTTTGCCCCACGTGAGTTAAGGGGAGATTGAATGCCCGAAGAGGTTCAACCTCAGCCCGTCCATGAGTAGCCTACTTAAGAGGAACGTGGCCATGTTTGCTACGGGTTTCTGAGCAAACACAAAGCAGTTTTACGGCACCTGAACCAGAAAGACAAAATGATCCTGAGCTGGTGGCTCCTTCCATGTGCAAGAACATCATCTCAGGTATGTGTTTTAGCAGCTTAAAAGAAAATGAAGAAAAATTATTCTCACTTTTCTACCCTCAAGAAAAAAGATTTTTTTACTCATTTTTCAGAATTTGAATACATTTTTTCTTCACATCTGACTAATAAAATATTTTTTCAGTATCTAATGGCCAGCGGGCAACGCCCGAAGACAGCTCATCGATCAGAGAGGTTCAATGACATTGTGATCAGACATTTTGAATGCTTTACTTGAGATGGTGTTAGAAATAATAAACTAGACACCTAAATGACTAAAATTAACTTGGTGATAGCCGGATGTAATGAATGTGCCTTAAAGTGGGACTTGATACGATGATTCATTTAAAATATCTAAAATTTAAAATTCAGTTGTTTATATTTGTATGCAACTCCAAATCAGATTTTCTTCATTCTTATTATGATTGTCTTGGTCATTAAATGATGATCGTACTTTATGTGTGGGCATATGAAGGCTGTTCATGGTATTTAATTGCCTTTAACGATAATATAAAATTACAATTTTTATATTCTTTGGTTGATTTAGTTAACTAAATTATTTAAATTCGTAATATAATTCAGAAACTGTATTTAATATAACATTATATATAAAAATTTTAATAGAAGAAAATATACTACATAAAATAATATTCTAAATATAGAAAAAAAATAAAAATATGAAAATTGTAATTTTAAATAAAATAAAAACTATAGTTATACCAATTTTCTTTGGTGTATGTTTGATTTATATATTATTCACATGTTACTTAAAATTATTTTTTTGGAATGATATTTGATTTGCATGACTATGGCTGGTGAGGTCATAATTTATATAAACTTTTAACTAAATCAATTAAAAAGGTACAATATTTTAAAAATTATTGACTTAACGTATTGCAACTATATAAAAAAATATATAATTTTGATAAAGTCTGCAATTTGAAGGAATATGTCAAATAATATCATATATCTATTTACCTAAATCTGGAGGTTTTTTTTTTTCGGCAACGATAGATAACCTAAATCGGAGGTTATATTTCCCTTTTGATTAAAATATACAAATTGAAAACATATTATAGGGGTATAATACTGCGTTTATTTATTTACTTTATATAAAGTTATGTAATATATATATATATATATATATATTATCTTAATATTATTTTCCTAATTGCATAGATTCAATTAAAGGAATATCTCAACAATTTTATATTTGTTACACGTTCAAAATAGTTAGCGTTACCATATTTGATTAAGAAAAATAAGAACATAAAAAATTTTGGGAACCTCAAATTAGTAACATTCTTTATTACCATTTTTTGAAAAAAAAAAATCATATATTTAAGAGATAAATACAGAATATTATTGGAATAGTTTTTATTACCACCAAAATCGAAAAAAAAAATCAAGTCTTAGGATATTCTTGGGATATAATCCGATTTCCCTCAAAATCGCCAAAAAAAAAAGATCAAATCAAGTAATAAGCTTGTATCATATAAATCCACATTTTAAAACTTAGAAAATAAGTGCATATATAAGCATCAAAATTTCATCTATAAATAAACTCACATTTCTGTTAAAATGAAATTCAATACTAATCATAAACTCACACATTCAAAATAAAGGCATGGATCAACCATTGGTCTAATCAATGATTTTAAATGAAATACGAAGGTCATCTTGAAACTTCCAGCAGCATCTTTAAGACGATGTTTGTTTCCTCTTACAGAAGTTATTTCGAGATAGTTTTCCACGATAGTGATGTTAGTATTCTTCATTATGTGATTTAATAGTAGTTATCAATATTCATTATTTTAATATTTTTTGACGAAAATATTATTTTTGTATTGCGATTTTACAGGGTGGCCGCATAACTGGACTAATTCGTGACGTTAACATTACAAAGATGAGTGACAAGTTCGAGGATGGTAGAAAGTAACATTGGTAAATCACAATCTATTAATGCAAAGTATTGGAGTATTCTACCGATTTCTCAATGTTTTATTTTGACTTCTGTAATTTTGCTACGCAGCAAGATGTTGACAATATAAGCAAATGGTTATGTTTTTAATTTTATTTTCAAATACATAGACATACGTGTGGTTGTGTTTTACTTTAGTTTTCTACGTGTTATGTTATTAACGTATATCCCATCGTTTAATATAAATATTAATATGTATCTCTTACCTGTGCATCGCACGGGATTCGTACTAGTATTTTGAGAAAGACTATGACAAGATAAATAATATAGTAAAAATTAAAGTCTATCAAAATAAAAAAGTAATGGAATCTAATATCGATCTCTTTCATTTTTCCTTACATTGTGCCCCTAGCTTTCGAAATTATGTGTTGGCCCATGAATATGCTCAAACAAAAACATTGAATCAGTTTATATGCATGAGAAATAACTTTAAGTTATCTATTCATGAAAAAAAAAATGCTTTCCATGAATGTTTTGAGCTCTCTATTTTTGCAATTTTTCTTGCCCCAATAATTGAATTCCCGAAAGAACACATTATGTCAAAACATGGATCTTTAAAGAGAAACAAAGACAAAGAGTTAATTCTCTCTCTAAAAATCCTCAATTCTAATCAAACCCCTTCGTCCGAATAACAAATTTCCGATTTGCCTCCTTGCCACAGGCGCTAGCCTATCTCCACCAGCATCGGGACTAGCGACATCCCTCTCACCTATTGTGGCTCCCTTCTCGACTTGGGGGTTGTTTATCCGGAGGATGGCTTTGGTCGTGGTTCCAGAGATTTGGTGACGACGATGGTGTTGGCGGTTCCTATCGACGCTCTCGTGGCGGAAGGTGACTTCCACCGTTGTCTCTACGCCTCAGCCGAGCACTCTGCTCTTCATTGGAGTGGTCAGGTGATGGAGCATAACTCGATCTCTCAGGCTTATTGTCAATTCCTTCCTATCGTATTGCTTCTCCTGGTTTTACACGTGGCTATGGCAGGTTCTGGTGGGTGTTGACTCGATGGAGTGGTCGCGGTGTCGAGTACCTCTTGTTGCTATTGGGTTGGCTGGGGTTGCGGGTTTGTGGCTGACTGTGGGTTTTTCCTTGGTTCCTGTTGTTGGGATCAGTGAGGATCTCGTTATGTACAAGTCACGAATTCAATAGCAAACGTAAACCTATGCGCAGTGGATCTAAAGGTTTGACGTAGAGAACTTACGGCTTAAAATTTATGTAGATCTGGTTGACCACGAACGGTTGACCACAATTGATTGACCGCAAATCACGTCTTGGGTTGCACGAACAAGATCGGATCAAACGGATGCAAACAGATCAAAACAAAACTTTGCAGCCTGGGAACTTCCGCCGGCGCTTGAGGGCGCGTGAGGCGTCGGAATCCGGCGACCTCGGTGGCGATGGAAAGTTCTCGTCGAGTCGGTCGTCTGGGTATGCTGTGCGTCTCAATCGGACTTCCGGTTAGTTCTGTAGGTCAAAATATATTTCGTCTCGGTTTATCTACAGATCTTCTACTGTATTACTCAATACACCCTTCTTCTACTTGTACCAGTGGAGCAACAAGAAGAAGATAAAGCTCGAATGAGATCTAGAGAGAGAGAGTATGGGCGGCGTGTTTGTCTCGTGAATATGAGATTGGGATTCTCTTCTCATGAGCTTAATGATGTATATATAGAGCTACAGTAGGGACCATTAGGAGTTTAGGAAAAGGGCTCCTAAATAATTAGACTAATGTGGGCCAAGCCCACTCCTCTAATTAACTAAATAATATTAATGGGCCACCAACATTATATTATTGCACCCCCTTTTTCCTAGCCCAAATTACATTTGAGACTCCAATAATAATTACTCGATTTACCTCCCCGCATTTAAGATATAATGTCCATTAATTAATTCGATTACTGACAATCAAGAATTAATTAATTTATTATTATTTCACCGAAGCTAGCGCTCGTCCATCACATTCTTATTATGTCGGAACTTAATCCACTTGCAGGGTTTAGCATAACAATCCTTCATGTACTCACTTCGGGGACATCATCAAACTAACGCACATGGTGACCGTAAATATCCTAACAGCACATCCTATATATAGTAATATTACCCAAAACAGTAGGAATATTAATCCAGCGAACTGAACCTCACCCATGTGAATCAAAGTAATATATATTATATATATCTGCCTATTTAATATCTTACGGGTTAAGAGAACGCAGTAATTAACCGAGGCCTAGTTCATTTACGACGATCAGTATAAAATGAACTTCTCCTCTCTGGGATCCTGTTCAATACATAAATGTACTAGTGCAACTAATCAATCAAGACAAACTGTACAGTTGACACTACAACTGTTAGGATGGGGTGTTCATGTCCATCTAGGTTGTGAACAACTATTCTTATTCGCAAGTGATTGATAGAGTGATCTTCGGTTCGCCCGATGACGACCCACCCTATCTAAGTGCAGAACAACAGAACGTAGAACTTGTTTAATCTAACATGATTTTCATTCATAATGGGTAAATGTGTAATAACATGCAAAGCCAAGCTTTCAGTATATAACACTAACACCTGTCATCTCCTTGGTGCTGGGAAGACGGGTTGTTCGGGTGGGTGTTGTTTCAGGTTTGTTGCAGTGGTCGCTGGTTCAGTTTTGGGAGGCTTCTTGTAGTTGGTCTTTTAGGGGGTGATTGTTTATGAATTCATCTAGCAATTAATTGATTTTTTTTAACTATAGTTAATTTTGAAAAAAGTTGATATGGTTAGTTGTTAGTGGATATATTAAAATAATATTTAAAATAAATTAATTAAAGTTGATATGATGTAAAAGTAAGAGAAAAATGATTGAAATTTGTGGTTAGTTAAAATTTTGTGAGTAGATGAATAGTGAATTAAAGTTGATGTGATGTGTAAGAATGATTGATTGATATTATTTAATTATATTGATAATATTGTAGATAGTGGAGTTGGGTTAAATTTGGGTTTTTGATTGATTTTTTTGAAGTGAATTGATAAACAATCACCCCCTAGGGAGCGATTGTATATAGATTTTACAGTAAAAAAAACCAATCAAAAACCCAAATTTAACTTAATTTTAACTCAACTCCACTATCTCTAATATTATCAATATAATTAAATAATATCAACCAATCATTCTTACACATCACATCAACTTTAATTCACTATTAATCCACTCACATAATTTTAACTAACTATCACTTCCAATCATTTTCTCCTACCTTTACATC